CTCTCTCTCTCTCTCTCTCTCTCTCTCTCTCTCTCTCTCTCTCTCTCTCTCTTGGCTGAGGTCTCATCATGGAGTAACTGTCTTGTTCTCTTTTCGTTTCTGTTCTGTAAATAAATATTGTTTTTTTATTCCTCAGGAGGTGATCAGCATGCACCAGAGGATAGACAGGTGTGTCCTTGTACATGCAGGTGGGAGTGCATCTCATCAGTAGTGCTGTTGTTCCCTGAAGAAGCACTTCTTTAGCAGCACGCAGACAGCATGCACATCATCAGATGGAGACAAAGGTGAAGATCTGCAAACTTATTTCTCTGTCCATCTTTTTTATTTTTATTTCAGTAAACCGTAAATATTGCTTAAATGAGAACATCTAAAAAACTGTTTCCCCCTTCTTTGTAGTCCCTCAAGTTTTACAGCTTATTTGGAGCTGGAGTCTGAACCTTGCCCTGGAAGCAGCATGAGACCTCTGCTGGTGGTGTTCAGGGCTTTAGTTAGATATAAAACACCACCCACAAATCGGTGTTCATTAAAAAAAATACAAAACTAACAAGACCACAAATTAAAATTCCTCGTTTTAACTGTAGACTTTAACATATTTTTGTATACTTATCAGTTGCCAACATGTCAACCCCTTTGGATGTTTACCTAATGAGCCTCAAAAATCTGTAAATTTCACAAAAAATTCATATTAATCGCATGCGGGAGGGATGACTGCACCTGCAGCGCAAAGCAGGAGGAAATGAGGACGGGAGAACTTATTTCTAGCAGCGGAGCAGGTTGCAAGATATTTACTTGATGTTATGTAGTTTTTTTCAACATCCTGCAGGCTCTGAGATGCAAAATAAACTTGAAACTGAGTTTTTTGAAAAAAATCTGTGAGATTGCTATAAACGTCCGTATACCTGCAATATGAGGAAAAATCTGTGCAATCCATACAACTTGACATGTATTAGTTGTGCTGATGTGCATCATTTATCACTTCCCTTTCTTCTAGGTCAGTTTGTGGTTCAAACTACCTCTGTTCTGTGGTGCAGTGACCTGCGAGGCCTCTGAATGACCCGTCTGACCAACTTCTCTACAGAAATATGCACAAAGATAAAGACAAGAATGAATAAAAGAAGACAGAACAGGAAGAAGTGTTTTATTATCTCAGAGTCATGGAGCCTACATAAAAGGTTCATTCATGGAAGACTTGTTGTTCTTAATAATTCAATAGATTTATTGTAATAGAAATTATRTCAAGTAACAGATAAACAACATCTCTTGTTGAACCTGTTCACACAAAGAATCATCGCCTCAATGTGCCGCAACTGTCCACACTTTACAGTTCTGGTTCACTTTTATTGCTCATGTAACATCATTTTCATCCTCTGCAGGAAACTTCTTTAATCTATAATCTACTTTACACTCCCTTCATGAGAGTCAGCAGCATCATTTGACGGACCTCATGTCTAACTAGTTAAAAAGACAAAGTCTCAAGAGTTGACAAAAATAACAACATAAGTGTGAAGGTTGGTGAAGATTGTAGAAATGTGCTCCTAAAGAGACACGGTTGTTATTTAAATGCTAAATGTGCATAAATGCAATGATATGTTCTTGAAAAAACAAACTTGATAACGTGGATCTGTGGGTTAATATTGTGGTTGCATTAAGACTTTAACGCCCACAAAACGAACAAAACAAGCCATTAGTGATGCTTAAATATCAAGTTTAAGACTTGATCAATAATGTCTCATTAAAAACTAATTAAATCAAATTTAATTCCAAAGGCAAATGACATTTTTTTTATCTGCAGGAAGACCTTTAGACACCATCCTTATAGGTGAAAGATTTGAAGAAAATACAGAGAAGTGATAGATCAACAAACAGGAAGTAAAACTTTTTTTATCGTTCAATGTAAGCTGATTGTTTTGTTGTTTGTAGGTTTAGTTTTCTACATTACTCAATTATTTTATTTTATTCATATTAAATGAAGTAATAAATCTATCAGTCTTTAGGTAAATTGTAATTATATGCTGGGATGCATGCAGGTAGCACATTTTACACAACAGGAACCTCACATCAGGAGTTCTTAACCTGAAGTGAATAATATGTCTGATCATCTGCTCTGTTAACTTGATGTGATGATGCTTCAGGTTGATCTTTCTCCATTTAAGGTCACATAGTTCACAAAGTCCTTCCCATCACACTCCTGTAAGGACGCACTCCCCCTGAATCTCTGTAAAACTGACTAAGTTATAGAAGSCTTTTTGGTGTTATTTAGGGTCAGCTGGCTGGGGAAGTCATACTGGACTGACCCCAGAAGTAAATCAGTTGTAGAGGTAYATCTACTGATTACATTCTGAAGGATTCATTAAAACCAGTACAATGGTTCATGACATGTTTTGCTATCACACACACATACACACACAATATGGTACAGCTATCTTTATGGGGACCTGCCATTGACTTCCATTATTTTCTACAGCCTAACCCTAACCACCAACTCTAATCCTAACCTCACACCTGACCCTAAAACTAACCTAAACTCAATTCACACCTTGGTCCTAAACTTAGCCCCCGACCCACCAACAGTGTTTCCCCTTAAGGGGATTAGACTCAGGTCCCCATAAGTACCAGTCAGGTCCTCATAAGTAACATTACATCTCCACAAGTAGGTGTGTATGGCAAAAAAAACTGTCCCACAACATAGGGAATGCCAGTCCCCACACCCACCCACACAGATACACATCCTTTTACTTGCATCAAACTGAGGACTTTGTATTGAATTCCATTTTTTTTGTAACTGTATTTATGCCTAACTCAGACATCTTCCCTAAAACTGACCATTACTGGTCTATAGCTAACCCTAACCTGAACCAAAATATAATTCACACCATACTTCTACCTACCTAACTAAAGTGCAGTAGAGCTGCAAATAAAGTAAGGACTTTGAAGCAGTCCTCACTTTACATCAAAGACCTCACTTTGATAGTAACTATGTCACAAATGGTCCTCACTCTGTAGTAGAAACAAGTACACACACACAAAATCATCTGTTTTTCAAGCATTATAACTACACACAATATGCAGAAGACAGATGTAATGTGAAACCTCAAAGTCTCCACATAGATCAAACTGAGTTGTGTTAAAACAACTAAGCAAAAGATTTGTTTATTGTTAACTTGTTTTAAAGTTGTCCTCCTGTGTGACTTTTCCCCTTTTTTTCCTGGGCTTCAAGCTGTGACTAAAAACAATATTTTCAGCACATTACCTTCAACACCGTACCCGATCTGAGTGCTGCCATTACAGATAAGCATCGCTGACAGCTTCCTCTGGCCTCGCTCACACCCCTTCTGTACACCATATACTGTTCTGCACAACAGTTACCAAACACACACACACACACACACACACACACACACACACACAC